TATTCCATATGGGTGGACACTTAGTGGAACATCACTAAACACTTGAGAGCCTTAAATACAGGGAACTACTCACTGAAAATGTACGACTCCCCATACACTGCACTCCTTTGCTCGGTAGCCACACTTCAACTTCCTCACCCATGCTGCCAGTGTGGATTGTAATTTCATTTACAGTCCATTAGCTGGGACACTGGTAAAAGAACATGTCCCAAAGACAACTTGAAAGCAACATGAGACATGAAGTCCATTACATTTTTGTAGTTTTTACAAAGTTTGTTTCCTGGTTTGTCAAGAGAAAATCAGCTCCTAACACTCATCTGTATACCCTTAGATGTTAATCTGAAATGCTGGATCTATTCCTGTATCACTCTTTCTCTGTGTGTTTTTACCCAAGTCAATAATTATTAATGAACTTTTATAACTACCTACTAGAGAGCCCCTTCACACCCATATATGTGGTGCTGATTACCTAAATATAACAGCCATTCGATGGACTGAAACATTAAAATGCTGCCTCCTCCATAGTAAAATATACATTTTTATACAGTGACATCATTTGAAGTCCTTTGGCTGATGATTGATGATGAGATAGGTTATGTTTGTGTTGTTCTGTAGAGAACTGAACCTGTTAAACACTGAGACCTGCTTTATATTAAATCGCTTTAGTTATGATGCACTTATGTATGCTCGTCCGACAGTCCAGCCTACTAAACAACACTATACCGTGACTTCCAGACGCTGAATCAGAACGGTAGAGTTTCTGCGACTGTCTGAAAGACAGATTTTTTTGAATAGTTAGTAAATGGTGAATGTAACTTATATTTGAAGCTTTACGTTAATATCAGGTTTTAAAATGACATTTGAGAGCAATATAAATAATTTCAGACATAGACATTTAGAACAAACTAAGAGTCAGATAAACAAAACTCGAGGACATGTACATGTCTGCTGTAAATGTTACTTTAATGTTTGTCTGAGTCTTTGTGTTTGTCTCCTAGATAACATTGAATAAATCACCTGTGTCAGAGACAAAGAAGTGTAATGTGTGTGTCAGTGTGATGTGTTGTAGTTTCAGGAGTCAGTATGCAGCTACAAAGCTTTTTGTTCAGTGTATACAAACAGCTGTAGCTCCATAAAGGCAGCAGAGACTCACAGTGTCTTATAATGAGAGGCTGCTTTCTCTCACACATTATGTTCACTTATTATCAGCACATGTTGTTGTTCTGTGGAAGCTAACATCTTGTAGTTTCTGACACTTTGCATGTTTAGCATGAGGCTAAAATTCCCCCTCAGTGGGTCACTGGTGGATGTTCAGAGGTTCATTAAATCCAACATGACTAAAAACTCAAATGTCAAAGGAAATAAACAAAATATTTAACCGTTGTATGGTGTTCGGGTCTGTGAGACCCATGCCATTTAGAGGCCGCTGCCCCTTTAGGCAGTATATACCATCAAAACCTGCAAATTATGGTATAAAGATATTTACACTTGCTTATAACTGATTTTATTTTTATTAAAAAAGAAAAAGAGAAGCACATTAATTCATAAATGTGATCGAACAAAGGTAAAGGGAAAAAATTAACCATGTTTGCTGTTCACATGGCTTGTAATTGGGATGAAATAAACATCTGTTGAGTAATTTAACATAAAATTGTTTTATAGTGTTAATTGGAAAGCCAAAACTCTAGCGGGTCCACCAGACCCATGAACACTGGCTGAGCAACAGAAATACAAACACCACACAAGGGTTAAAGTCAATCATTCTGATCATAATTGTACTTTGACCTTTGACCTCTATGCTCTGTGTTGTTTCCTCTTTCAGACCAGAAAATCATCACAGCTGAGTCTGGACAGGACGTCACTCTGACATGTCGAGCTAGAAACAGCAACATCTTTGCTGTAGAGTGGAACAGAGATGACCTGAAGACAGGAAATGTGCTTTTTCACTTTGGTTGTGACAATATTCTAGATGGTCAGCATCCATCTTTTAAGAACCGGGTCGATCTGCGGGACAGACAGATGAAGGATGGAGACGTGTCTTTGATTCTGAAGGATGTGACGATTAAAGACGCTGGAACATACGAGTGTGGTGTCGCAATTGAAGAAGCACGCTCATGGGATCACAGCATCATCCACCTTCGTGTTGTTCCTCCAGGTGAGTGAGTATTGAGTTGAGTGAGTGTGTGATCAGAGGTGAAGCTGCTTCCTGGTTGTTGATGTTTGTTTGTTGTATGGATGAGCTGGTGGATGTCAGAGGTAGACAGATGTTTCTCCAGCTGTTGTCTTTGTGGCTGGTAGTCTAGAGTTGTAGAGCAGCATTGTTTGGGTAAGGTTAGAGCAGAAACAAAGACATTTATGAATCCGTCTCTTCTTCTCTTGCTCTTTAACTCGTCTGTAAACATGTGTGGGGAAACTCAATGTTAAAGCCTACAGCTGGAGGGGGAGGGGAGGGGTGAAGCTGGTGGTTGTGAGTCTGTGAAAGTGAATCCTGCCGGTGCCATAGCTGGTGAAAACGTACTTAGTGCAGACACAAAACGTCCATCAGCTTCAAAGTGTGTCAGAAAAATGTCCACATGGTGACTGATGGATGAGAGAGGTCCCATTTTTGTTGTTGTGCACAAATCATTGAACAACACAAACACTTAGAGCTGCTTTCAGTGCTGCCTGTTTTGTTACTGCACACATTTCTGATGATCCTACAGTCCAACGTAGCAAACATCTCCCTGAAGCCTCTTCTTAGAGACCAAAGGTTGGATCAGAGCGAGCAGCTGAAAGGACACATCTATGAATGCAGTCAGAGACTTTCTCACAACCTCAAACTTCATCTGATCAGGTTTAGACTCAGATTCTCTTTTAGTCACTGAAAATAAAGATTCACACATTTCTAATAAACTGAATGTTTGATCAGATGAACAAACAGAAGATAGCAGTCACCAGCTGCTGTACTTTAGAAACCAAAGCCTCCATCTTGTTTTGAAACATGGCCACCAAACCAAGAGAAAACCCAACAACCCTGCATTTCCACAATTTCAACACAGCTGGAGCACACACTGGCTGATGTGATGATTCATATTAATGGATATACTTAGATAGATTTTATTTTAGCTCCCACCACATTTTTAACAACCCATGTGTGTTCAGGGGTCCCAATTGGTTCATCCAGGTGTTTTAGTAAGTAAGTAGGAAAAAAAAAGTTCTGTAGCACTTTTTAAAACAGAAAGCTATTACAAAGTGCTTCAGGTGGGTATATAAAAGCACATCAAACAAAACAATAAAACAAAATAAAGAGGGTATAAAACCATGTCAAATGAAACAGCATATTACACATGAACATTATGTAACATTACGCTGTTTTTTTAAAAGAAGCCACAGAGTTCATGGTGCGTAGCCGGGAAGGTAAACTGTTCCACATTATTGGAGCCAGGGTTTGAAAAACACGATCCCCAAATGTTTTCAAACGGGTGGAATAGTTTGAAGACCACTACCAGTGGATCTAAGGATCCGGTTTGTAGAGTAAGGTTTAAGAAGCTCAGTGACATAAGTGGGGGCCTCACCTTGTAAGGACATGAATGTAAAAGTGAGGATTTTAAACTGATATCTGTACCAAATCATGCAAGGAGCAAGTGCAAGGAGTTTAACACAGGGATCGCTTGAAGGTGATTTACAGAAGTTTTTGACAGACAGGAAAAGAGTGTGTTACAGTAATCTAATCGAGAGGAGATGAAGGCATGGACAAGCATCTCTAGTTCGCCCTTGGAGGCAATAGTCCTGAGTTTGGCAACATTTCTTAAATGAAAAAAGCAGGAGCGGGTCACTGACTTAACATGAGCATCAAAAGAGAGAGACTGATCAAAAATTATCCCAAGATTCTGAGTGACTTTTATGGGATTTTTGGCTCAATCAGAAGAAAAACAAAGACTGGAGATCTATGAGAGCTCATTATAATACATGTTTGAGACTTTTGAAAAGTAAAATCATCACGAGTTTGAAAATGTGCTTCTTTAGCGTCAAGCTAAATCTGGTCAATGATCACAGATTTCTGTCCCACATAACCAAATAACTCTTTATTTGTACAAAATACCCAAATTCATACAAAGTGCATCAAACAGTGCAAATTGAGACGAGTGTTGAAGGATTAACTGTCTGACTGACTGCTGAAGTTGAGTATCCATCCGCACTCAGATGGACTTTATCGTTTTTTTCAGCACAGATGTGTCCTCCTCACTCTGGAGTCAGTGTTGAATGTCCTGTGAGAATGTGAGGCTCCACCTGAGCTTATGTCCTGATAGCTTTGACCATAGAATTAGTGTCAGGTGTTGCTGTTACAGAGAGAAGACGGCTGCTGTCAGTCTGTCAATTTGCACTGTTTAAAGTGCTTTTGTAGATTTTGTACACAGTATAGTTTGGTTGGTGTGACAGAGCTGTTATCACTGAATCACAGGTTCAGATGTTTCAGCCTCATAATAAACAAACACATTTTCGGGGATTCGAGGATTTGACCTTCCAAAGGTCATGTTTTAATGAGCTCTCACAGACTGCAGCCAAACCGTCAAATTATATAGAACAGCTGGATGAACCCAACATGACCTCTGACCCTTTGTGAGCTGTCAGACCTGCTAATTAGTATATTTTTATTATCATATATGTTTTTATGGTGAAAACAAGATTGCATGCTGCAGTTTGGGTCAGATCCTGTGTTTTTATAATAATAATAATAATAATAATGGATTGGATTTATATAGCGCTTTTCAAGGCACCCAAAGCGCTTTACAATACCACTATTCATTCACTCTCACACTCACACACTGGTGGAAGCAAGCTACGGTTGTAGCCACAGCTGCCCCTCTGGCCAACACCAGTAGGCAGTAAGTGTCTTGCCCAAATGAAAAAGCAGACAAATCCACCAGTATGAACACTTCACACTTTACACATGTTGTAAATTATTTATTAACCTAATCTCCTGAACTACAAGAGGAAATGGATTCTGTTCTACTCATCACCTACCTGACAGCTGACACCTCACACCTGTTTCTCACCTGCAGGTCAGACAGGAGGAGACAGAGATGAACTGTGAGTCAGACGATCTGAGGACATAAATGAACTCTCCTGAACATCCTGCAGACGACTCTGATGATCATCATGTTCAGACTCTGACCAACAGTGTGTGTCTGTGCTGTCTGTCAGTGACTCTGAACTACAGTATATTCGTCTTCAGGCTGTTCATGAGATTTACTGTTTATTTTATGGTTCCGGGTCATTTTGACCGAGCATTTTGAGTTTTGGTTTGATTTTGCTTCATGGGTTGTATTCTGATTCTGTTGTTGTGCTTTGTTGGTTGTTATTATAATTCTATGGTTCAGTTTATTCTGGTTAAGGGTTTAGTTCTTAGGTTTGGTTCTTATGCCTCTGTGTTTAGTGTAGGTTTATTTCAGTGTACAAATTGTGTCTTTGTGAATTGTTTCTTGTTTCCTGTTTTACTTTGAAGGTACACGTCTTATGTCAGTGTATTCAGTTTTGCTTTACCCTGTCTCATTAGCCATAATTTCTCCCAACTTTGTTTCCCTCCTGTCTCCTATTCCCTGATTACTCCACTGTGTATTTAAGCACTGTGTTTGCCTTTGCCCTTTGCCTCTACATGCTGTGTGTTTTTTTCCCCCCTCATGTGCCTGTTTACTTTTTCTCTTCCAGTGCTTCAGTCCTTAGATCTATATGTCCAGAGTGTTTTGGTGAGTTTAATTTACTAAGAGTTTTTTTCCCAGCAATAAAGCTGCACTTTAAGTTTGGCCTCCTGGTTTTGAGTTCTGCGTTTAGGTCCTTTCCTGCCTGCTGCACACAGCCCAACATGACACAAAGTCAAACTGTGTTACGAACATACATGAATTTATGAGCTCTAATCTAAAATGGAGCTTCAGGTTCAGCAAATTAACTCTTTTATGTTGGTGTGATTTATATTTATTGACTTCATGTGACTTTTTCCTCAAGTTCAGCCCACTGGAAGACAGTTTGCATTTTCTTCTCTTTAGCAGACTTTCTAAAACGATGACGCATTTTAGTCATGTGATGCAGTCATGTGACCAAATAAACAAAGATCCCAGAGACCATTACACAGCAGTTGTTTTGTTTGCTCTCAATTTTGACAGCCCTATTAAAGATTCATATCAATCTGTACATGCGCCAGATAGCTTTTCTTCAAATTCTTTAATTCTCACTCGCTTTTGCAACTTTGCACATTTGTGTTGCTCGCAGTAAAAACTCCACCTCATTGTTAGTCCATTTAAAAAACTCCTCAACATTTTGCCGCAACATTTCAAAGAGCCGGAAAGTAAATAAACGGCTGACAGAAATGAGACAGGCCGAATCTTCTTGCGTTTCACGCATGCACAGTACTGGAACGTAAGTGTTTTTGGCCGTTTCAATGTGAATGCACAACTCTGTGAAAACAACTGAAAATGCTAGTGTGAACGCGGAGCGTTTTCAGACGAAAACGGCGTTTTCAAATCTATCCAGGCTAGTGTGGATGTAGGCTTAGTTTGCAAATCCATCTTATCAAATTTTACAGAGTTTACAAACTGTTATAGACTCTGATATTTCTCTCTCTCTGATCCTGCACTGAGAAGTTTGACAACCTCTTCAACTTTTCTTTAACCTGACACACTGTTCGGGTCAGATTTGACCTGCTTTGACCTTTGACACCACTAAAACACCCTGATCTATTTGTGAAGGTTCTCAGTCATCCAGGTCATTGTAGTCTAAGGAGCTTGGAGCTTCAAGATCCTTAGACACCCTGATCTACTTTTGTTAGGCTGAAACTTGATGACTTTTCTTAAACTGACACAAAATACACAACAATGAAATTGCTATTTAAATATTTTATACAGATGATACAAACTTTTGTACATTGGTGCTGTTTTGGGACAATTTAAATCGTATCAGTTTAGATGGATTTTCAGATCCACCAGTTTGGCTCAAATTAAGGAACGTTCTGATTTTAGGAAAATTTGACACTGTGAAAATGTTCACGTCATGTTTGTGTGGATTTTAAAGAGACAGTGGTGTCAGAGGTCAAAGGGCACCTTGATTCAGCCATGACTGTGATGTCTCTGTTCACAGCACGTTCATCCTGCTGCCCACAGAAACAAACTCCTGTAGTGAATT